GATTTTGCGCTACAATATGCCATCACTGAGAGCAATGTTAGCATTTCGGCAGCGGTAGCAACATGTGTATCATCCCTCCAAAGTTCTTCGACATCGTAGTCGATTTCATTCGGTGTGGTGCCTGAAGACACGTATCATCCAATCTATCAGCAACTTCGCCTTGTTTATTCAACTATGGACCTTGTGCGGATCGGATGGCTGCACGCCGCAGGCCACCGTGCATTACAATACGAAATCTGTTGCAATCGAGGTAAATATTTATTTGTTTACTATTGGGCTAGTGTTTGTGCTGCGCTCGCTTACAAAGCGTGTTGTCGTTTCTTTATATTCATTTGAACACGAGCGCATATCACGATTATAAAAGAACGCTTGAAGCGCTATATCAGATAAAGCGTGCAAATCGTAGAATCGTCGCTTGTATGATTTTTGCAAGAGCTGTTGTAGAATATGATGATAGCGTAACAAATATTTCGGCGTAGGCAGTACGGCATCGACATTGATCAATCGAAGAAACAGACTGACGGATCTATCTGATGGCTACGCTGTATCACGATCGTGATGTACTCTTGGCATTTTACGATCGATTCCTTGCATAGTTCCTGTTCTGCATTCTGATGTGCGGTCCCCCTTAGTATCAAGACCAGACAGCCACTATGGCATTTACACTCATTACGTCGGACACCGCAACACATTTTCGCAAAGCAGGACAAAATATAACGGTGCAATGCGATAAGAATTGCAAGCACATACGCAACGCTTTGGTTTGTAGCGCTGCTTCGTCACGACGCTTACATTTTTCGAGTTGCAAGCTGAACCAACAAGACTGACGATACTGAGCACTACTAATTAGTATTCACGAGCGATGCATGAAATTTCGGACAAAGCATTTGGTGCTACTTATCCCTCTCACCATAAAGAACGCTTCGGAGCGAGTGGACCTCAAAGCAGTTTCGATGGAAATGCTAATCGAAGGGCATCATACACGTGTAGGCTTTTCACGCGGTAAAATGACAGTAAGCTGTACATCAAGATGGAAGCGGAGCAATATGATGTGCGAGAAAGTCCGATTTAACGCAGCACGGCTGTGAACTGAGTGGTGCTGATTCGCGTCCGCTTCCACCACAGCTAAAAGCGCACATCAAGCAACTATTGGCCTTACCCTCGAAAAGGTACTTAGATGACGGGTGAAAAGAATCGCAATCCGTGCCATCGTCTCGGCTTACAAAAAGAAGCTTACAGCACATGCGTGCTATTGGACGTATATAACACCATCTATTCAAAGGTTTGTGGGATGGAATGGAAGCAGGAACGCGCTTGCGGGGTTATGAGAACATCATGGAAGTCCGTCCATGAAGCTCCACTTTCCACGCATCAAAGATGCGTCAACTTGATGGTGTTGCATATTTGGAGATATCTCATTGTACCTCTACTACACTCCTTAACAGGCTAGTGATATTGATGTGAGCGTCAATGCCACAGCAATGCTGAATCTTCATACCAAGGATGTCTCACTTTGCGTTCTTTTTACGACATGTAGCACTCGCGCGTACTCGGATTTTAGCGTCAAGTACTTACAATTGATTGATCTCTTAAACACTGTATCAAAACTTAACTCCCGTCTATTTGCTGGAGATACCGACAGAACTAGTACGCTCACTTCGCCACTGGGAACCTCGGATAAGTGTCTAAATGATCTTACACTCTCCCCCATCTGCACGAACGATAGTTTTCGATTTACGTAAGCTCTTGTATGTTTCACTTCGACTGACCACTGGAGCTTCCTAGCTGTCGTAAAGACCATAAGCCGATGAAATGACGACTTCGATAGTGCGCTGTAATTGCATAATCTCTGTCAGTACCGCGAAGCTCCACAGAAAACCAATGCGACAAATAGAATACCTCTTGCACTCGATCATCAGCTACATTGACCTACAAAAACTGATGCTACTTCGAACTGCCTTTTGCTTTGGGAAGTACTGAATAAGGCAAATCGGCTGTGACGTTCATGTGACCCAATTCATGCCCATCGCCTTTGGAAGAAATTGAAAGTGAGTATGACGTCAGGTTTTATCTTCTGCATAAACTTTGCCTCTTCAGTATCAGCCAAATTAGCAAACTTTTATACCATTTCACAAACTGCGTGATTAGAAATGAGCAAGCGTAGAAATGTAAAAGGAATCACCAATCCTCTGCATTTTGTGCAGCGCAGAAAAAGGGTATGGCGTACATATTTGTTCCAGATGAGGCAGAGTACGAGACGACCGCTTACCTGATGCAATCGGATCCTACTGTTGTCGGAAAAGGCAGAATCATACCCCGTATTGTTCGACAGATAAAAGCATCCGAAAAGAGGACCTAAGAGGAGGATAAGGGAGTTTTTTTGCTACGAAATAGGAAGAAGTTGGCTCTTTTGACGTGCTCTAGAAACGTGGGTAGAAAAGCCAGACAACGCCGTTGTGTACCTCAAATGTCGCAGGTAAACAATAGCAGAAGATAAACAAACGCCATCGCATATCACTACATTGGGCTTGTTATGCTGATTTTATTTCGCGTGTATACAATGTCGAAATAGCCAAAGGTAGCAAAAAGGATCATATAATCCCTCTTTTGCGTGATGATCTGTCCTTCGTCTACTCGATCGGACACGGCGTGGCCAAAATTGTCGAAAAACTGAAGTTCTGTCCCTTGTCCGGCCCATCGAAACGACGGACACGCAGTGCGTGCCCAGTGGGCAGTGTCCAGTCCAAACTGCCCCACCACCCGAGCCTTCCCACCTTGCAGCAAGTGCCTATCGGTCGAATTCAAACGTACCCGTCAATCCACCCGACCTAATCAAAATGACTGACCGTGCCACTGCTCGCAGATTCCGCCTCAGGACCTCACTCAGCAGAGAGAACGTTCCCGCACAATTGGACAGAACATCATCATTCCGTTCCTGCATCAAACAAACCGACGCCTCCTCCGCTCTCTCGACCGCCCGAGCACATACATACAATCGAGTGCGTATCGCACCAACAGCATCGTCCAGCCGTCGCCACTTTCAACCATGAGCTCTCCCGTCGACTTGAGCAAACTCGCGCTCAGTCCACCACCCACCCACACCGCCCACACCGCCAGCAACAGCAGCAATAGCAGCGACTCTACGCATAGCACTCTCAAGCCCACCCACCCCTTTGTACCTTATGCCATCGGGACAAATGAGGAGCTCACTTGCGTCATCCCGGGCTTGACCTCGACGCCCCCTCGGGCCCGAGGAGCCACGAGGACTCCGCTCACCGCCACCCACGAAGTCCGTCTCCTCCGATCCCAAGTCGCCGAAATGGAAGAGCAGCTCCGTCTGTTGAACGAAAAGTGGGCGGCGCAGCTCCTCGACCAACGCACGTTGGCACTGGCCCAGCACTCGGCCAGAGAGAAGCACAAAGTCATGCAGAGCGAGACGATGCACCGGGCGCTGCAGCAGATGCTGCTCGAGCAGCAGTTGGTGTTTGCAACGCTGCAGTCGGCGATGTCGCGGGCTCCTTTGCAGTCGAGCGGACAGACGATCTTCGAGGCCCTCCACTTTGACACACGGCTGAGCCGTAATCCCCACGAGAGGGAACAGGTACTTCTGGCTCACAACCACCGGTCGGTTGCGACACTGCCGTCGATCGTTGCGAGCCTCACGCAGATGGCAGTCAACAAGGCCAGAGCCACCCAGCAGGAGAAGCAGACGGATGACGTCCTGCCGCTGTCGCAGATTGACGTGACAGGGGGCCGCGACCACACCCTTATCTCGAGCACCTTTATCACCGAGATCCCGCACACGTCGCTCGAAGAGGCGTACGCAGCAGTTTTGGCCTACTTTGACGGCATCCCGTCATCGATGAAGCGCCACTTTAACGTCAACGCGAAGCGCGTCCGACTCAACAGTGTAGACTCGCCCGTGGTCTACCGTCGCTCGACGTTCCTCGGCGCGGGGCTCCCTGCAACGGTGAACAATGTCGTTTGCTCGGAGCTAACGGCCACGCACGGAATGGTGCACATTGACGCGATTGTCGACGACCCGCTGTACCCCGTGCACGAGGGCTCGTCGTCCCATTATGGAATCGGTGCACTCTCTGTCATGCCTCACGAGAACGCAGTTGCTGGACAGACCACGTCCGTGACGTTGCGCTGGGTTGTCGTGTACCACTACAATATGCTGCCTGACGACGAGGCCCTCAAGAACGACCTCGAGAACATCCGACCTATTCTCAACGGAGACCTACTCACAGCGGCCGTGTGCGACTACATTCAACAACAACAGCAACAACAGCAACAACAACAACAACAAGAACAACAAGAACAACAACAACAACAACAACAACAGCTGCAGCTGAGCGCTCTGAACTAGTTTGACGGATGGAAATCCCACAAGGTAAATTAGGAAAGACTCGAGATGTTGTTTTCGCTTGGCCTTTGTCAACATAGTTGTCGCCAACACTGGACGAGCTGCGATAGCTTTTGGACACGAGAGGGGTATTGATTGCAATCGAACAGTACGCCGGGCGCTGACGTAAACGTGTCTTTCAATCGTGAATCCGCGCTCCGTCGGGCTGGTTTTTTGCGAGCACGAAACGCACATACATTCTCCCAGTCAAGCGTCTCGATTTGAAGGCTGCTGACGCAGCAATTATTCGATTTTTGTGACTGGTCGAATCTGCCTATTCTTCGTCGACGATAAAGAAACACGTCGACGAAGAATGGGCACTGCTGGCAAAAACTGAGCAACTACGACCAATCGTTCGCGAGGGACACAAAAATAGTATCACTGCTTCGTCGACGTACGATCAAGTTCTTCTTCGTGCGGGCAGCACGACCACGCATCTCGCTTTCGTGCTCGGAGATGCCCCTGCTATGTGCACAGATGTGCGCGTTGAGATTCCCGAGGCGTCTCTCCACTTGCAGTCAACAGACGTGCAGTGGTCTGCGTTCCCTCAGCTGCTATGTGGTGCTCCAGCAGACGTCATTCGTAGCTGCTCGACTCGGACTGCACAGCCCACTGACCCATCGATACACGCGCTTGTTGTCGACACGAAGGACCGCAGTGATCGGACGCGCAATGTCGCGAGATCGTCAAGCGCTGCAGGAGGGACGCTGCACGACCTTGTACATCATCCGGTATGGGCACGTCCTGGCTCTGCAACGAGCTTGATTAATGGACAGCCGCGGCCGTCTGATTTTCCGCGTCATGGACGAGACGACCCCGATGACTGCGTGTGAGGCGGGCCAGGCTCGTGCAAATCCCTCTCTTCCCGGTCCAGGGCGTTCTTGCACGCTGTGTTTATGGGTCGCACGGCGTGCCCCAGACGCCCGAGCTCGCGGCGCGATCAGAACGACACATGAACTTCAGGGCTTGACGCCGCGATTGCGTTACAAGAGAGAGCTGGAACTTGACACACGAAAACAAAAGTGGCGCCCAGACTTTCTCGTCTTATTCTTTTCATCATCAGAGTCGTCTTTTTGCTCTTTTTGCTCTTGGTCTCTTTTCTCGGTCGTCCATTATTCGACTCGCAGCCTCGTGCAGTCTCACCTGACTCATGAGTTTCTGCAATGGAATAAACAGTCGTCCGCTTGCGAGACTTTCGTGGCGAAACAACACATGACGCGAACACGCGAGTCGCACGTGGACTACTGCATCGGCAAAGTGGACGTCGCTCCCGTGGCGGGCGAACGCGGTTGTCCGTCCTGTCTGAGCGTCAGGCAGGAGCTCCTTCGTTGCGGGTTACTAGAAACAGAGTCGTTCCCCAAAAATCTGCGCGCGACAGCGACAAACCTGTCATCGTCCACTCGTGCCCACCTCCTGGAACCCCCCCAGCAGTCATCCACCGCACCGTAATAATTCGTGTTACAAACTCAACGTCCGCGTCCTACGCCGACGCGTCTCGGACATAGACTCGCCAAGCACTTTGTAGTCCTTCTTCTGCATGTAGAGAGCTACGACGCCACTGTTTACCGCATGGACCTCCCACCTGGTCGCAAAACAACACTGTCATGTGATTGTCTTCGCCTCTGCCTGCGTGCCTACGTGCCTCTCGCCCCTCTTCCACACACACACAGACGTGTGCAAACACACACCGAATGCTTACGAGCCACGTGCGAAATGAGACGCGTGCTTCCCATCGCGAGCCAATTGCTCGATCAGAGAGCAGCCAGCAACAGCACCACCTCTACATGCGCATGTAAACACTCGACCTCAACTGGCCACCGCGTGGAGCGATCGAGTCGTGGCAGCAATCGACAACGAGACGACCTACGAGTTCGTCAGCGTCGGGTGTGTGTCCCGCCTACTGGCCGACCTGCCTGCTGTATCTTCGGGTGCATCTGTATCTCCTCCTAAAACTGCTGATTCCGCGTGCTCGGCCGCGTATCGTCATCATTCGGGGCACCACATCTGCAAACGCGCACCTATCGACACTCGGCAGCTCGAGCTCCTCAATTGATCCATTGACCGACTGCGCCATTCGTTCAGTCGTCGCTCGATCCGCTTTGCATCGTCCTCACACACACATATACACACACAGGAAGTGTGTGTGTGAGAGAGAGAGAGAGGAGGCCCACGTTTTAGTGGATAGAGGCGACCCCTTCGTCCACCGTCGCCACGCGTCAGTCGTCCGGTGCATCGACCACGAGGCGAGTGAGCGACAACAAACAGCGCATTCCCAGCAACAGCGACCGCAGTTTGAGGTCCGTATCCGTCGAGCATGTCGAACAACCAGCGACCTGACAGACGTCCACGGACGGACCCGTTCCCACGAGTCGGATCCGCTCGGAAACCAGACACCCCGTCGGGCCCGTCACCCCGCAAGACCACACTCCCTCCTGCGGTGTGTGTGTGTGTGCCGCTGTCTCTTGTGCTCGATCGCTTCCTTTGTTCCTTTGCGTATCCGTAGAGCTAACGACAGTGTCGTTCGGTCCGCCAATAGCTCATTGTGTCACCTGTTGTGTGCGTCTCTCTCTCTCTCTCTCTCTGTGTTGCTGTGGACTGTGTGATGGCCGCACTAGCACGAGGTGAAGGCGCTGCGACGCGAAGCGAAGCGACTGGACGAGCAGTTCACGGCGCTCTGTGCCAAGTGGAAAGCAGCGCTGCCGCAACAAGACGTGCTCCTCGCGGCTTGCACGGCCGCCAAGCAAAAGACCGTCACGGCGCACGTCGAGCAGCTCAATGGCCAGCTCAAGGAAGAGCTGCTGCACCAGCAGCTCTACTTTTCGTCGCTGCAGCAGAAACTCACCGAGGCACCGCTGTGGTCGCGCTCGGTGTTTTGCCAAGAGCTCTTTGACCGCCTGCACGGGTACTTGCACCTTGAAGGAGTAGACCTCGAGGACCACAAGAAGACGCTGCACGCACGATTTGAAGTCGCAGTGCGGCTTGCACCTGACCTCGTCGAGGCTTTAACCCGTGAGTTTGTGCCCTTGACGCTCTCGAATCTGCCGTTCTCGCGGACAAGCACTGCCGCGACGACGCTGCCGGTACCAAAGACGGCCGGTGCGCGAAGCGACGAGGCCAGTGGATGTGGCACGCTCGTCTCGAACGTCTTTGTGTGCAAGGCACCCGCGAGTGTCTGTATCCCGCAGATTTTTCACACGCTAGTGAACAAGCTCACGAATACGTCAATCGAGCTCGAGCAGCGCCTTGGCGTGCTGTTTGAAATTCAGGTAGACGTGCAAGTGCATTGATGTTGGGATGGTGGGTGCTTCAGTGCTGGCTTGGCGACCTCATGTGCTAAGTGTGTGTGTGTGTGTGCTCGTCTTGGTCTTCTCTCTTGCTGCTTCTTTGCGCTTTGTGTGAATGCAGTCGGAAGTCCAGGTTGGACCCTCCACGTACTATGCGCGCGTGGAGAGGAGAGATGGCGACATGCATGGAGCCCGTGCGAACCAAGCGTGGACGAGCAAGCTCGTGAGTGACGACTTGGCGGTCATTGTGACGGATTTCGTGGACGAGGACGATAAGGAAGCGGTGGACGCAGCGCAGCGAAAAGCTCGGGCAGGACCAGGAGACTGTCGCGAAGGTGTGGCCCCCTCGTCGATGCCACCTGCTTTGCAGTTGGGTCTTCGCACTGAGACGTGCATGATGCTCACGATCGCCCGCGTGACCGATCCGGAGCACCAGGTGCCGATTGTGCTCTTGCGCCGGCTGCGCGTGCATCGGTACAATTTGCCACCCGACTCACCCGTGATCCGTCGCGAGTTGCACAAGCTCCTACCGTATTTTAACGGCGACTTTCATATGACGATGCTCAGTGACGCATACAGAAACAGGAAGAACGAGGACCCAATGGTTGTCCCGTGTCGACCACGTGATCGATTGAAGACGGAGGGCATGAAAGTGCTGGAGCACGATGACGAGTCGGACGACAGTGACGATAGGTCATCAATTGACGCCCGATGAGGAGCAGACACAAAGGCGGATAGATGGTAGTGCTGCCAGCAGTTTTATCGACAACAGTGTTTTTTTTGTCTTGACGGGGCTTGCGATTTCGTATCGACTGAAAGACTTGACGCGACTAAACTGGGAAAATCTCAAACACGTTGCGCTTTCGCTTGCATGACAAGTCGGTATATCGGAAATCGGCTCTTTTCATCGAGGTATCAACTATTGCAGCAAATGAAGCAGCAATTACACTACGTTTGCGTGCATAGAGCGCTCACCCGACATCCAGACGGTGGGTAAGGACTATGCAACAACGCTGCAAACTCACTACCCCTTCAGTTAGATCGGCGTCGGTCGCACTGGACAATTTTGGCGAGAAACGTGGACACGAAAGTCATACTTGAGCTCGAAGTGTCGGTCGCGACACGACTGTTCAGCCATTCGACGTCTGGTGACTAGGCCAAGAAGCGACTAGAATCATATTACTACCGGATCCGGCGTGATGTATGCAGCCAGTGCTGGCTTGTTCTTCAAGTAGGATACGGCCGTACCGACGGTTCACTTGAGAGTGTCATAGGATGGCTGTGTCATATTATGAGACCCCCATGTACGCATACAGCATCAATCGTTGTATCAAAGGCACCACCTACTCGATCACGCGTGCCGGTGTCGATACGGTTACGCTTTTATGTAGTGCCATCCAAGACTGTCGAAGCACGAAATATGTGCGTAGAATTGTGTAAGCTCGACGGATGTAGTGTCAAAAGTGGCGTGTGATGCGAAAAAAGACGAAGACCGTAGCAGTCAAAGGAAAAGCAACTAAAACTCGATTTGGCTTCGAAGCTACAAATTTCGTGCACCACATTTGCCCTTTTGTCCTGTTGTGAAAAGATGGCTCATCGATGTCTGATAGCCTGTTTCGCTAACAATTGAACAGCGGTCGCTGCCTTTTAAAATTGGTGCTATTTCGGTCGTCCAATATACTACTGGCTTTTGTACAATTCTGAAATTTACAGCTTATTAAGCTTATAAAGTGTAAGACCGATTTATGCCCGGGATTCGTACACCTTAGCTAATACTAAATACTAACTTCAATTTTCGTTCATTTTGTTTCAAAAAATAGCTAAGAAGAAATACGTAGACCGTGGCGACCCGTTGCAGCAAACCATATGTCAGAAAAACAAATTTGAGAAAGTTATGGAACAAAGCAAAGAGGCAAAAATACTGGACTTTCCACGAATGGGTCAGTTCATCACCGTAACAAATCGAATACAGAACCCGATTGTATTACTCAAGTTGCAAATGTTCCTGAGTCATGATGCGCTTTCCTTTGCAGCTCTTTGACTCTTGGGAAGGAAGAGTGCCCCCCATGGAGCTCTTGCCGTACTGTGAGCCACACCGGGTCGCTTTATACGCTTTCGTTCATAACACCTCCATCGGCGTATAATTCTCTACGTGCACGCATTTTGAGTGCTGAAATTGGCCAAAGGCCAGTGCTGGCAAAGCCAGAAATCACATTATCTGGCTTGGTAAGCACACCATTTTGCCACGCGCTTGATGATGTTGAAATCGTATGTTTCTTCGTCAATCTCGTCACATCTTCATCGACCATGTAGCGGTCTATGGAGCGACGCAAATTGGTAGTGAAGGGCTTAAAACAGAGACATACAAAGGCTGAAAGATGTATGTGGAGTTTGGAGGAAGAAGAAGTACAACTAACGTCATCTCGACCGCTTTCTTAGCGATTCTCTTGTTGTAATGGCTTGCACAACCGTCGTAGATGAGCAGCAGTGGCCGAATGACGCTGCTGGTTACGCTTGCTGCAAATTGGTCCAACCGCTTGACGAAGATAGCTAAGTTCATGAACGCATTCAAAGCGACGGCAACTGTAGCACCATGAACAGAGCACTCACTCAGGATGCCACGATTAAACGTTGACCTGGAAGCAGAAAGAGTGTCGGTAGACACGATCCGGATCACAAACATAGGCGACAAGCGTCCGGTTGAAGCTCATATCGATGCACTATGTCCAAACTTTTTTCAACCTACGCATAGCCATGACTTTCCTTGACTTTAATTTCTGACATAATCTCGTCTCGTCTATATTGAATACGCGGTCGTTATTTAGTTGATGCGAGATTGGGTGCTTATAAAACTGGTTCAGAAAATAATCATGGTTCTCTTGCCCGACTTGGTTGCGTGTGCGAAAAAATACTTGAGGGACTCTTAGTGAAAGCTTGAGGTGACGGAAAAAGAATCGCCTAACCCATTTGTCGCTAGGATGCCAGTCGATTGCGCGGGATTGTAAAGCACGCAGCACGCCTCGTTGGATTTACTCAGTACCATCTGACGAGTAACAGGGAAACCCTCTCGCTGCTTCCCTACGATATACGTGTGGAGGTCGTCATTAATTTCTCGGTAAAGAACGGATGGTGGCCCTGGTCTATTTATTGTAATACCAGAGCGCTGCTGGATAGCGCGGCGGTGGATCATTCTTTCCGGGATTGTAAAAAAAACTCACGAACGGTATCCCATGACATACCACGTTCACGAGCACTGACAGCCTAGACGAGATCGTCTTGGCTATATACCTTACTCTTCTTTATCGTGCGTCGTTGCCGTATGTGATCAACCTGCGTTTGACTCGTGTGGGCGGCCATAAACAGACCCATTTGTTAAATAAGCCAATTCAATTGAACAGAGTTGTTATGTAGCGGAGCTACACAGCTCCTTAAGTCAGAGGAAGACTTAACGATCTACGAGCAACTTTGGTTCTACGAACCCGACTCAGAGAGTCAACAAGCTCGAGAGTTTACGGTCCCTGTTCCAGGGGGACCAAACGATTCAAATGAATCACAGCACAGAGTGCTCAGGAGCAGCTACCTTCACAGGTATTGCTAGCTCCTACCGATCAAAGACGCCTCGTAAGGCACGTGTCTTTCAGTGATCAAAAGGGTAACTGAACTTTATTTCTTCTTTTAACCTAGAAGAACACCTTAGAACAACGTAATCAACCTACTCGCTAATGTCCTAAATAAAACCTCTCAAAAGATCTCGTAAGTAATGGTTGACAGATTTCAGTCTTCAAAAATTGATACTGTGTTCTAATATCACTTAAAAGGGGATCCCATCCATAGTGTGCACCACACCCATTGTCGACTACCAGTCGACGTGTAAACTCGTTGCATGTTAGCTCTAGCATCAGCTACTACCGATTACTTGCTAATAAGCGGTCGTCGGCCATATTTAGCCTAATACCTCATCCTTATTTTTAATATCGCTGATAGGCAAATCAAATTTAAATATTGCAAGCGAAAGATGAGAAAGCAAATTACAAATTTAAAACTGATCTAAGAAACTAGTCCAATTTTAAACGATGAGAGAGTCGTTCGACTGCACGAAATTTCAAATAGAAAAAGATGGATAACGAATTAATAATGCCCTGTGTTTCTCAGAGCAAAAGTGTCCTATGTCCTTTCATACTCGTTTTGACGTTGCACTCAAATTTGACTGATAGAATCACTGCTTTCCACCTACGTGTTTGCGAACCTCCCATCTAGTAAGCACCTGATCGGCGCAGAGAGAGGTCGGCTGAACCAACCTTTCGTTCTTATGCTTTTAGTTACGACATGATGATACAACTCCCGAACTACTCATGGGTCGCCTCACACTATATATGGTCTCAATACTACCATCTCGCTTCTTAACTCACGCTCAACGGCGCGCTTCGCCGTTTTTGCTAGGTAAAGTCTTAGTCATATTATCTCCCATCATTTGCTGAGACTTAATGCGCTCGAAGATAACGGTGTTTCACGTTTGTCGCCACAGATACAATGTGGCTGCACATCAACGTGTTTACCGCTTGACATACCGTCTCCGCTTCCGGTCGACAGATTTCGACCTCTTGTCGGTGTACATCCGCGTTGCTTATATCAACGTATTTCCGACCTCTTGTAGTAGCTCTCTTAGTACCAGCATGTATCGGGGTAGCCCGTTACATTATATTGTCACTAAGGATAAAGTGACAATAAAGAATATTACGTTGGATATTCTTTCAACAATATAACAGAGCATGATGATATTGCTGAAGATGACCGAAGGGTCTACTCATTGGTTGATATCGTGAAGATATCAACCCACCAATCGCTGCTAGACGCGCGCAATGGGTGGTGAGTGGACGTCATGACACGTTTAGTTAGGTTAATATAATTAAGTCAAGACAAACAGAGACATGGTATTGATCGGACTCAATTATATTAAGTAACAGTTTTACTTTTACCAGAGACTAGCGTGTTCACTAGTCTACTTTTCTTCCTCTGTGTTGGTGCAACACTTTGCAGGGCACTGAATGTCACTGTTGTCAGTGGAAGTATCCTTCGTACTGGTCAAACAGTACGTAGTCACCAGTGCCCCGTTACACCTGGTATCACTTTGTAGTCCGTCCAAGGACCAAACTCGCATCGCCTAACATGAACATGTTGGACGAAGTCGAAGGCGACAGATTTCACGGAGCTCGTGGAAGCTACTCTTATTTGAGCGATGTTGAATAGAGTGCTATCGAACGAATGAGTTCGACCGTTGGCGAGGAAGCTATCTAGGCCATGCTATCCACAAGGGATATAGACCTGCAGTATTCCGCCATCAGCAAGTTCTTGCAGCGAGAACTTGACGAGTCGCGAGCACAGGTGACTTGTTGCGACAACAAGATCACCAGCGGACGGAAGAACTGAGACAGCATCAGTCTCAGGCCGCAAGCTCGACGCGTGAGCGTCGACAGGAGTCTCTGAAGTTAGAGATATCCAAGTACCGGAGAGTCGAGGAAGACTCCCTGTTAAGATGGTTCGTCGAGGTCGTCGGTGCCATCGAGGCCCGTCGCATCGACAACGAGCGAATGCAAGTCGCATTAGCTCAGTCTTACATGGCAGGGGACGCCAGGAATTGGGCCCTGATACTCAAGTTACACGACCCGAACGTGTTTGAGTCGTTAGAAGTCTTCAAGACGCTGTCAGTGAGACGTT